TGCCTAGAATTAAACTTTGTCAGTCTTAAGGATGCCACTGGACTCAAACTTTGTTCTGTTGCTTCAGATTTGTGCAATCATACAGCTTTGTGAGACATACTGTCATGCATTGTCAGATTACAGGATGTATTGCATGCAGCCGCTGCCTGGAGAGCCCCAGTGTTTGTGCATGCAGCAGAAGTCCAGTGTGCATTTGCATCTTCCTGCATGGCAGCTCCTAAACAAGATTAATGAGCACTTCTTCAGCTGTGTATTCTAAGCCTGACTGGTAGTCCAAATCAGCCCTTGCCTGTGGATTGGGACTCAGAGCTGGTGCATTAGAACAATACAGTGTGATCCAAGAGGCTTTCGGTTCAGTTCTTCCCCCTGCTATGGACTCAGTAGATGGCCTTGGGCTAGCTGTTCTTTCAGCCGCTTTTATTAAGTCTGTGATATGGGGAAAGCACTGGCTTGCCTTGTCATGGTGTTGTAAGTGTCACAAGGTAAATGGATATAAATGTGCTTTGAATGCTGAACATGTTATGCTATTTGTATTTACTACTCATTATTCAGACACCAGCTATGTAGAAGTAAGAGTTGCTGCTTAATTTTATGTATCGTCATTTATACCCCACCTTTCTCCTCACTGAGGGACCTAGGCAGGGGTGGGGGTGGTGATTGGATTTATTCCCCTCCCCACAACAGACAGCCTGAGAGGTAGGTGGGGCTGAGAGAGCTGTGACAGAAACTGCTGTCTTTCAAGAACAGCTGTGCCAGAATTATGGCTTGCCCAAGGTCATCCAGCAGGTGCAAGTGGAGGAGTGGGGAATCAAACCCGGTTCTCCCAGATTAGAGTCCGCGCACTTCACCACGACACCAAACTAGCTGAAAGTGGGTAGTGGGTTATTTAGTGTGTGTGAGACCGCAGCCTCAAAGTGACTTACACAATTCTCACCTCCATTTAGCCTCACAACAACCCTGTGGGGTAGGTTAGGCTGGGGGTGTGTGTCTGGTCTAAAGTCACCCAACAAGCTTCCATGGCAGAGTGGGGATTACTTAAGATAATTCAGTTACTTTCCTTGTTGTAGTGAACATATAGTTTAGTAGGTCTCTGTCTTGGATGTCATTGGAAATGTTGGGTTTCTGAAAAATACCTACTCCATAGTCAGAAAGTAGAATCGAACGCCTTCTTGCTAACTTTGGGCATTTATTCCACAGTTTTTTCAAACTTCATAATTTCCCAGTATTTCTTTTCAGAGCACCAAACAGAACAATACCTTTCGTTTTGGGCACACAGGGAAGTCGAAGGGTTGAGTCTCTTGACTGAAGCTCAGCTTGACAGAGCGTGACTCCCCTGTGAATCATCACTCTGTCCTCTGATGATTGAAAGAAATTCCTTAACTCGCCAGACTGAGGCGAAGTTTCCAAGCATTTGATTTTGGCCACTTCTGGCCAAAATGTGGGGGAGTCCCAACAGTCACTGGCACGCCTTACTTGAGTGATAAGAGGGGGCTGTCTATGGTTGCCACCTGCCCTGGTCTTCTAATGACACCAGGACCTTGAAAGACAAGTTAAACAGTTAGCCTTACCTTGACATTGAGGTATTAAATGTTAGAAGTGCATAACTTTTATATAGCGTAATAAGCCGTCAGATGGCTAGAATGAATGGGGGGCAGCCCTCATCAAAATTCACTGGATCACCCCACAAAGGGCTGTGTATGTTCAGCACCTAAAGTTTTGGGTGGTGGTGGGGGATTAGTAGGGAAACCTGGCCACACAATGGAGCCTGCTTTCACTTCTACTTCTGCAGCCCTTCTGTTAGTCAAGCAAGGTGTGTCAGTGACTGTTGAGAAGCAAAAAGAAGCACAGCTAATTGAGTTTGTCATGTTATTACTGTTAAAAAATTTTTCTAACGGGGGTGGCCCTCATGTTGACTCATCTCTGCAGTCAGCACTTAGATAAGAACTAATTCTCTAAAATAAATACAGAATGTGCAGCGGTGGTGAAATGGCTCTTCCTCCGCTAACCATGGGTCTTTTTGCTAAGTAAGAAGGCCAGGAATGAATGGTACCATTCTAATAAAACTTTACAAAAGCCACATGCCATGGTTTGTAATCGTTCCTTTTTCCTATGCCCGATGAAGTAGCCAAGCATCAGCTCTTGTATCGTCTTTGATTTGACTTTTTAAAATATTGTGCAGTGTGTTATTTATTTTATAATTGATTTGTTTAGAAAATGTATATGTAGCCTCTTCATAGGAGCTGCGGTGGCTCGAAGTGGTTAAGACGCTGAACTGCAGGCTGTGGAAGGTCAGTAGTTCAGCCGTTCGAGACCCGAGTTGCCGCATGACAGTGAGCTCCCGTCTCTAGTTCCAGCTCCTGCCAACCTAGCAGTTCGAAAGCAAGACATTGCAAGTAGATAAATAGGTTCCACTTCGGTGGGAAGGGAACAGCGTTCCGTGCGCCTTGGTGTTTAGTCGTGCCGGCCACATGACCACGGAAACATCTTCGGACAGCGCTGGCTCTTTGGCTTTGAAACGGAGATGAGCACTGCAACCCTAGAGTCGGATTCGACTGGCTTTTGAGCAAGGGAACCCCTTTACCTTTACTTTATCCTCTTCAGAGAACAGCTCAAGACCTAAGATGATAGAACAAAGCCAGTAAAATGCAACCATTGAAAGCCACTAAGAACAGACTAATGCCAATAAAACAAGCAAGAGCATTAACAGCATCATAGAAGACACACTGAGCATTGTGGGGGTTACTTGGAAGCCACAATGGGATTGGCAGCTTTCTAACCTTGTTTTCTGTTAATGAAAGGCTGGGGGTGTGGGGTCTTTTCCAGGGTTGTTTTGACCTCCCAGTCCACCACTGTTCTTTTCCCTGGGGGGTAGACTTGTTGGGTTAGGGTCAGCAGTAGCCGCCAGACAACTTGCTACTATGCAAATTCCACAAGTCACCGAGGAGTGGCAGTGGCTACCAGACAACATAATGCCATAGAAAGGAGTCCAATAGCACCTTAACGATTAACAACATTTATGGTGGGGTATGAGCTTTCTTGAGTCATTGCTCGCTTCTTCAGACACGAGAATGTGAGTTCTTCCACCCTATATATTGGAAAGCGGAGTGATTTCAGAGCTCAAGACAATGCATCCTCCTGGACTGAACTGAGACCTAGGTTTCGTGTCTCATTACCAATGCTGATTTCTCCACACCTACTACCTCTCTGCAGTCCAGGAGGATGCATTGTCTTGAGCTTCCTTTGAAATTCCTTTGTAAGAAAACTGCTGCTTTTAGGTCAGCAACCGAACGTCCTGGAAAGTTAAAATGTTCCCCCACTGGTTTTTGAATGTTGTGGTTTCTAATGTCAGACATCTGTCCATTAATTCTTTGCCATAGGGACTGGCCTGTTTGTTCGGTGTAGAGGGTGGAGGGGGATTGCCGATGCGTGATGGCATAGATGACATAAGAGGATGAGCAGGTATATGAACCTGAGATGGTCTGGCTGATGTTGCTGGGTCTGCTGTTGGTGTTGCTAGGATCTATATGAGAGCAACGCTGGCATCTTGATTTGTTGCAGGCCTTGGTACCAGAGTCCATGTGACTGCCAAGCAGGGCCGGCTCGAGGTGTTTCTGTGCCCTAGGCGAGGCTGCCTTATGGCGTAGATGCCAAACTCCCGGTGGGGCCTGGAGACCTCTGGAGCCAGCCACCCTTTTGCTACCGCCGCCGCCGACTCCTCCCCCTCCGCAGCTGTCAGACCCAGCGAGCACGCCCCACATGTTCCTGCAGCGCCCTTCAAGATGGAAGAGAGATTTCTCTCGTGCTCTGCTTCCAAAGGCAGTTTGGGAGGAAGGTGGGGGGGGTCCTGTCTCCAGGCGGGGGATGCTCATCGGATGCCTCTCCCCAATTAGCGAAGTGCTGACACTTGGAGAGCTGCTCGCGGGCTTTTGGCGGGGGGGGAGGCACAGCTCAGTGCCCCATCCAGGGCCCAGCACTCCAGGCGAGTGCCTAGTTCGCCTAGTGGGTGAGCCGGCCCTGCTGCCAAGGAGTTTATCATTGCGAGTGAGAAGTTGTTTTAGGTTAGCAGGCTGTAAGTGAGGAAAGGTCAAATACCCCCCCGCCCCCGTGCCTGTGCAACTCTGGTGGGCCTGGCCAGAGGCCACCACATCATTGAACAGAGCAACTTGCTACTGCACAGCTTTTGCAAGTTGGCCAGACTTTTCCTAGGAGAAGGCTGCCAGGAAGAGGGAAGGAGGAAAATCTGCGAGCCAGTGTGGTGCAGTGGTTAGAGCGTAACACTAAGATCTGAGAGACCTGGGTTCTAATCCCCACTTTGCCACAGAAGCTTGCTGGGTTATTTTAGGTCAGTTCTCCCAGCCTAATTGACCTCAGGGAAGAGAATGATTTGAGCTGCTTTTTTTTTAATTAAGAAAAACAGTTTACAACAACAATACAAACTAAAATACAGAATACACAAAACCAACTTGGAGGAGAACATTTAGCCGTCGTAACATTAATAAAACGAACTAAAACCAGCTGTACTACTTCATACAACATTTTGCTATAATTGCATAAGCTGCTTCGGGTCCCCATTGTTGAGAAAGGTGAAGTAGAAATGAAGTGATTACAGTCAAAGACAGGCAAATAGAGGTTGGTCGGTGAGTGGGCAGGAGGGAAGGAAGCAGGTAAAGGGGGGGAGGATATGGGGGCAGCCAGGAAGACAGAAAGAAGAAATAGTATGGAGACAGGATTCAGGGGGAAATAAAATGATACTGTTTCTCCCACAGGTCCTCGTGAGTGCCCCTATTCTTCTGTTTGAAAGCCCTGTCCGTACACAGATGTCTATATTAAGCAGTTTTTTCAGTGGACCGGCATCCTTTCCCATACTCATAATGCCACAATACATATTTGAAGTGTAAGCTTCATTGAATCCAATGCAAATAGCTACGGAGGATTGGGTTGTGTGTATTCCTGTTGCTGCACGGAGCTAATTGTCCTGAATTTTCTTTTATCTAGATTTCTTTGGCCAGTGAGTGAATTCCATACTCCAGCATGGGGAATATTTTCGCAAACCTCTTCAAAGGCCTTTTTGGCAAAAAGGAAATGCGCATACTTATGGTCGGCCTGGATGCTGCAGGAAAGACTACTATTTTGTACAAATTAAAACTTGGTGAAATAGTAACTACCATCCCTACTATAGGTAAGACGGTTTAAACTTCAGCCGCTTTCTACTGCAACTGCAGTCATAGTAAAGCACCATCTTCCACATCAAATTATGGAATTGTGGTGCCTTTTTGTGTAGCGATAGTGACTTTGAGAGGCATACGGACATAGTAGGAGAGCCTTGCTGGATCAGACCAGTGGCCCATCTAGTCCAGCATCCTGTTTCACACACTGGCTGACCAGTTCCTCTGGAGGCAGGGGGTGTTCTCAAGGCATTTCTCCGCCATCTGGCAATTTCATAGTACAGCCTTTGAGGGGGGAAAGTTGACAATCCATAGCGATCCTGAGATGAGGAAGGAAGAAGATTTGGGGGCAGCTTTTGTGAGCTATCACAAGAATTAATGAAGCTCATTTTACAAGAGAGAAAATGCCTGCTCTGGCCCTTAAGGCAGGAGTTATGTTCAGTGCTGTAAAAGTTAGCCCTAAGATCCATGGCAGTTGTGTTTCATTCTAAAGGATGGAGAGCCATGTCCTCCCTTCCCAACGTTTTTAGACCCTGAGACTGGCGGTCCGTTGAAAAGGTTGGCAGAAGTGCTGTTGTGTTCCACTGCCTCGTTTTGATGGTTAAAATGGGCCAACTCAGATGGTTGCAGATATCAGGGGAAAACACAGCATAACACAGTTAAGTAAGTGAAGTTAGCCCAATCGCTTTATGACGATTAGCAAATGTTGATTAGGTGGTAGTAATACCATGCACACTACCAGCTCCCCTTCCATTTTTAATGCCTTTCCAGAACAGAATAATGTCTTCAGGCCCAGTATCTGGGGGATTTCTGGCCTTCATTCTCGCCATTTTAAATTGGAAAGAACCAGTGCCAAAGCAGTTGCTTGAAGCTCATTTGTGAAGTAAGGAATTGGCGTGTATCGCAAGTAACGAAGTGCTGTGGGAGAGCATTAACAAATTATTGACTTGTCTGCCTTGCTGCACATCTCATGGGGAAACACAGGTCCTTCGACCTGTTAACCAGTCCTAATCTCTTCTGCTACTTCTATTTCAGGTTTCAACGTAGAAACAGTAGAATACAAGAACATTAGCTTCACAGTATGGGATGTAGGTGGCCAGGATAAGATCAGACCACTCTGGCGCCATTATTTCCAGAATACTCAAGGTGAGTGGTGCCCCGAACGGTCCACATGCTATCTGTATTTGTAGAAGCCCACTTAGAAGTTCCGTCAGGCTTCTTGGGCGTTCCTCAGTTCCTGCTCGACCGTGATGTCATCAGGAGTCTCTCAAGTCCAGGGAATCTCTCGGCCACCTTCCATTGCTTGCTTCAATACTGGGTGTGATGGTGTTTGTTTCCAGTCCTCTATGCTATGCAGGTCTGTCCACCAGAACTATCGCAGTAGAAAAGAGCAGGAGTCCAGTAGCACCTTCAAGACTAACAAAGCTTGTGGCAATAGGGCACCTGAGAAGAACATCAGAAGAGCCCTGCTGGATCAGACCAGGGAGGGTCCTTCTAGTCCAGCCTCCCGTCTCACACAGGGGCCGGCCAGTTCCCCTGGAGGGCCAACAACAGGGCAGAGAGGCCGAGGCCTTCCCCTGAGAAGAACATCAGAAGAGCCCTGCTGGGTCAGACCAGGGAGGGTCCATCCAGTCCAGCCTCCTGTCTCACACAGTGGCCAACCAGTTCCTCTGGAGGGCCAACAACAGGGCAGGGAGGTCGACGCCTTTCCCCGGTGCTGCCTCCTGGCCTTGGGATTCAGAGGATTAGTGCCTCCGAATGTGGAGGTCCCCCTCAGTCACCGTGGCTAGCAGCCATTTGATAGACTTATCCTCCATGAATCTATCAAATCCCCTTTGAAAGCTGTTTATTCCCGTGGCCATCACTACATCCTCTGGCAGCAAATGCGACATTTTAATCACTATGTCAAGTAGCATTTCCTTTTGTATTATGAGAGAGGGAGGAAAAAATTATCTTTTGTCAACTCTATCCACCCGACTGCAGAACTTTATAAACCTCTATCATCCTTCCCCCCAGTTGTCTCTCTCCTAAAGTGAAAATTCCCAGACTCTTAAGCCTTTAACCCCCTAATCATCTTTGTTGGCCTCTTTTGTACTTTTTCTAGGTCTGCAGTGTCTTTTTTGGGACACCGTAGCCAGAACGGTACACAGTATTCCAAACGAGGCTTCACCATAGATCTGTACAGGGGCATCAATGTGTACAGCAGCTCATTTAATGTAACAATGAATAAATATAAAACAAATTACACAGATGGTGAACTATATAACCATTAAGTATCCTCCATAACAAAAACCCTAACTAGTTGTTCGGTCAGTCTAGTGCAGGGAGACCCATCCCATAATACCTTTCCCAGTGTATTAGGGAGCGTCACTATTTCTCCATCTTCCTTTGCCAAATCATCACAAGCAAGTTCAGTTAAGAGAGCTGGTAACAATCCATCTTTATTGAGCTGTACTTTTTCTTCCAGTATTGAGCAGACAGAGTTCTTCCAGCCATAACTGAGTATATGCTCAAATCCTACTTAAAGGTTAATTGTTGGGAGGTGTCTTAAAATTGCTTCTACGGGGTCCTTAGGTACTATGGCTCCCACAACATCTACTGTGTTTCCCTAGTAACCCAAAAATTTACATGTCAACTGTCACCTCATTGCTCCATAGCTCCAACATTTCAATAAAATATTTAAGGTGGAAGGTAATGCTTCTATCCAGTGACAACCTTCTATTTGTTTGGTGTAGTGGTTAAGTGTGTGGACTCTAATCTGGGAGAACCGGTTTTGATTCCCCATGCCTCCACTTGCACCTGGCTGGATGACCTTGGGCAAGCCGTAGTTCTGATAAGAGCAGTTTCTGTCAAGAGCTCTCTCAGCCCCACTCACCTCACAGGGTGTCTGTTGTGGGGAGGGGAAGGGAAAGGAGTTTGTAAGCCGCTCTGAGATACCTTTGGGTAGTGAAGGGCGGGGTATAAATCCAATCTCTTCTCTTCTTATTCTTCTTCTATTGGGCAACTTCTATACGCAGACTGTCAGGTTTTGCTCCTTCTTAAGATGCTCTGATTGGCTGCGGTGGCTCAAGTGGTTAAGACGCTGAACTGCAGACCGCAAGGTCAGTAGTTCAGCAGTTCGAGACCCAAGTGCCGCAAGATGGAGTGAGCTCCCGTCTCTGGCCTCAGCTCCTGCCAACCTACCAGTTCGAAAGCAAGAAGTTAAGTAGATAAATAGGTACCACTTCGGTGGGAAGGTAACAGCGTTCCATGCACCTTGGTGTTTAGTCATGCCGGCCACATGACCATGGAAACATCTTCGGACAGCGCTGGCTCTTCGGCTTGGAAACGGAGATAAGCATCGCATCCCTAGAGTCGGATTCGACAGGCTTTCGAGCACGGGATACTTAAGATGCTCTGCTTGTGGCTGTAGCCAAGAGATTACCCTTCTTTAGAATACGATGAGGCCAGGAAAAAATGCCAGGTAACCCCCTCTGGTAAACATAAAGTAGTGCTCTCACTCTGCTGCACGCAGTGATTGCCCCCCCCCCAGGTGGGGGCTTTTTTCCTAGCCTTGTCAGTGAAAGAGCTCCTTCTCCCTTCCCTTCACCAGTTAAAATGATCAAGTGAATTAAGGGATTGTTAATCTGTGGGTGGTTGCGTGGCGTTCTGCCATCCAAAGTGCTTCCTGTCAACATGATTCAAGGCACAGTGTGTTGAAATCAGTGAAAGTGCCACGCAGAATAAATCAGGCGTTATGTACTCATGCCTTTGGAGCCAGTGTGATGTAGCGATTAGTATGTCCCACATCCGACTCAGGTTCTTATCCCTGCTCTGCTGTGTGGCTCACCAGGGTGACCTCGTGCTAGTTATTCACTCATTGGGACCAATCTAGGTAAAGGTAAAGGTTCCCCTTGCTCGAAAGCCAGTCGAGTCCAACTCTAGGGTTGCGGTGCTCATCTCCGTTTCAAAGCCGAAGAGCCAGCGCTGTCCGAAGACGTTTCCGTGGTCATGTGGCCGGCGTGACTAAACACCGAGGCGCACGGAACGCTGTGACCTTCCCACCGAAGTGGTCCCTGTTTATCTACTTGCAATTTCTTGCTTTCGAACTGCTAGGTTGGCAGGAGCTGGGGCCAGGGAAGGGAGCTCACTCCGTCATGCGGCACCCGGGTCTCGAACTGCTGAACTACCGACCTTCCACAGCCTGCAGTTCAGCGTTTTAACCACTTGACCAATCTAAGTATCACGAAATCTTGTGCAAGCTTGTGAGTTTGTATGCACCCTTCATCGGGCAGATACTGCAAAAATAAAAAGTGGGGGAGGGAAAAGGCAGACTCTTGCTGCCCGCTCTAGTGGTGTTATACAGGCATATTAACTTGTTTTAACTTCTGGAGGTGTTCGATTCCAGCATGAAGACGTAAGCAGTGGAGGCACATCTCAGTTCAGAAAATGCAGTCCAGTTAAATCCAGATGGCACTCAGAAGTGCCAGGATCTAGCACCTCTAGCAGTTAAACAAGTTACCGCATCTTGTCATCACCCAGAAACACTGGAGCTGGCAGGAGCATCTGCCTTTTTCTGGCGCTCGCTTTTATTTTTTACGACATCTGCCTGATAAAGATATTCTCAAGAACTCAGAAGCTGGCACAATATTTTGTCAGCGTGATTGGACATAATAAAAAGGCATTATGTGAATTTTCTTTTTGGGTGTGCACTCTTGTCTAGTGCAGTGACGGACGCCATGCATAATTCTCCTCATTTTAAGTACCAGGCAGTGGTTTCAGTAGCCTGGATATGCTGAAACTTTCAACCAGATTGCAGGCATGTACATGAGGGAGTTCCGGTACTGAGAATAGAAGGCCAAGGGAAGATTTTCAGGTGTTCCCGTGTCATAGGGATGTGCCTCCTGTCTATGCCACTTTCCTGAGTAGAGCCAAAGAATAGGGACCCCAAGCATATATAGTATGCAAAAATATAAACCGCAAGGGTAGAGCATCAAAAAATACACATCTTTCACAAGTAAACAGTAGACCTCAGAACCACAGATTCCATTTGAGGTATGAGCCGTGTCTACATTTTGTGCTGGCAGCTGCTTACATGTTTTATTTCCTAATTATTCGCCAGGTGGGTGTGAGGATAAAAGGGGAAGGGAGAATCATGGGTGCCCCCCTTGTAGTAAGGGCAGAATAAAACTGTGCTTGATGGACTTCAGCATAAATTGACCAAGCATCTGAGCTCCACGAAAACTATTAACCCATAAACGGAACCCGGACTTTGTATTTTGTGCGTGATTTCCTTAAGAGGAAGAGAGCCAGTTTGGTGGTGTGGTTAATTTAATTCAATTCAATTCAATTTATTACAGGTCTATATGACCGAAGTCTTGACCAAAAGGATACAAAAGGGGGATAAAATAGGTACATAAAATAGACATAACATGTGACAGGGTGCATAATCACAGTCACATAAAACCCAGGCTGAGCCCAGAGATTAAAAATTACCTAACTACACTTGTAGTGTAGTGGTTAAGTGCGCGGACTCTAATCTGGGAGAAGCGGGTTCGATTCCCCACGCCTCCACTTGCAGCTGCTGGATGACCTTGGGCAAGCCGTAGTTCTGTCAGAGCTGTTCTCTCGAGGAAAGTTCTGGTTTGGCGCCTCGAACTCTGGAACACACATGGAAAAGATCACTTTTAGGACTGTACTTTTAAATGTCTCCCCAAACAACTGGAGGAAACTTCAGAGAACTTTTACCTAAACTTCTTCTCCAGCTGTTTTTTAAGTCTGTCTCTCCTGCGTGTTGGCTTGCGTTTCGCCTGCCGAAGATGTTGCCGCATGCATCACAGCCCACATCTCGCTGGTGCGAGTCTCTTCCAGCCCTCGGGGCTGACTTAACAGATGCGCTGACAGATCAGCATATGTCGTCTTTTCACAGTTTGCTTTGTGTGCACGGAGCTGTTGCATCATTGATGCAGTCAGACAGGGGAGTCCTTGTCAGCTGCTTGTCTCGCTCCTTTAGACGTCCGTCTTCCAGGCCGCTTTGTTTCAGTGTGTGAAAATCTGTCTGAATTGAGACCTGGAGCTACAGCATCTCCAGAAAAACTAATGCACTGGCTCATTTCTGCACAGAAGTCGATTCCACTCCTCTTTGTTTATGCGCATCACTGAATTCTCTGTGGCTCCAAATGTTCATGAAATATTCCGTGCACAGTAAAGGAGTTACAGATGTATAACAGCACCAAGACGGACGTATGAGCCAGGATCTCACCCATTCAACTGTCACCTCAGCCCCCTCTGTCTAGTGCAGTGACAAGACGCCATGCATAATTCTCCTCATTTTAAATACCAGGCAAGTGGTTTTAGTAGCCTGGATATGCTGAAACTTTCAACCAGATTGCAGGCATTGTACATGAGGGAGTTCCGGTACTAAGAATAGAAGGCCAAGGGAAGATTTTCAGGTGTTTCCGTGTCATAGGGATGTGCCTAATGTCTATGCCACTTTTCTAAGTAGAGCCAAAGAATAGGGACCCAAGCATATATAGTATGCAAAAATATAAACCGCAAGGGTAGACCATCAAAAGATACACAACTTTTACAAGTAAACAGTAGAAATCAAAACCACAGATTCCATTTGAGATATGAGCTGTGTCTACATTGCTGTGGCAATTGGGTTCCATTTTCAGCCATACAACTGAAGAAGATTGCTTTGAAACGTCTGGCATACCTGGGAAGGACGTTTTGGGCTGTTAGAAGTTTATTTGTGCTTTGGGACATCCTCTGCCTTTTTGTGGACTTTTGCAGTCTTTTGGACACTATTATATTCGAAGGATGAGATGGTTAGACAGTGTCATCGATGCAACAAACATGAAATTGAGCCAACTTCAGAGGACGGCGGAAGAAAGGAGGGCCTGGCGGGAGCTGGTCCATGGGGTCACGAAGAGTCGAACTCGGCTGTGACTGAACAACAACAATATTCGAAGGATCTTCGATGTGGTCTCTGTGCTTCACACCCATGGGATCTAGTGCGCACGCGCTGGATCGATCGGCATTGTAGCAAGCTCTTTTAACGGATTTTCGCGCCCAGACCTCAGGCATGCGCAGAAACCCCACCGCGCATGCCCAGAGGGGAGGGCGCGGACATCCCGCCAGTTCCTTTCTTACCGCCGCGTTGGAAAGACCTCTTTCTCATCGGTCTGATCGGTTCGCTTTTTTGCCTCACGGCTCTTCGGATTTTTCCTCACTTTATCCTTTTTTCTTCAGTGTTTCTTTGTTTGTTCTTTAAAAAACTTTTTAAAAACCAAAACCTTTATGAAGTTGTAAAATAAAGGTTTTGTGTGTTTTTTTAAGAATAAATATTTTAGGTAGTTTTCCCAACACGGCTCTTTGGCTTAATTTTTAGTTTCGTCTATTGATTAAAATATTTAGTCCTGCCATTTGCCATGGCTCCAGGCAGTTTCAAATTTAAAACCCACAACACGCAATAAACGGTACACTGAAATAAGCCATCTTGAATAACTGTCTTCAGCACTTTATGAATTTGTTTTAATCATGAATTGTTCTTACATGTTTTTATGTGTTTTAACTGTGTTCATGCACTGTCTGTGAGCCGCCCTGAGCCTGCATTGCGGGGAGGGCGGGGTGTAAATGTGATCAATAAATAAATATAAATAGATAAATCCCCCAAAATATCCTCCCTTAACAAAATTGAGCAAATGCCTCTGGAAATTGTTGTCACACCAGTTATTGTGAGGAACTGAACAGAGTATTTGACCAGGAATACAGCCTCCGTTATTAACCAACACCAAAAATACATTTCTTTACTTCATTTTTACCCCGTCTTTCTCCCTAGTAGGGACCCAAAACAGCTTACATCATTCTGCTCTCCTCCTATTTATCCTCACAACAACCCTGTGAGGTGGGTTAGGCCGAGTGTGTGAGACTGGCCAGGGTCACCCACCAGTCTGTCATGGCACGAGTGGGATTCGAATCTGGGTCTTCCAGATCTGACATAAATGTCACTGTCAGGCCGGGCCACGTGTGCCATAAAATGTAAAGCCAGGTACCGGAGGTATAACCTTTTTAAAGGACACAGGCAAACCCAATTAACAATATTATTTCTTACTCAAAATACAAACAAAAGAGATTTATTCCTAGCAGTGAACCCACAACGTGGAGCTGCGGTGGCTCAAGTGGTTAAGACGCTGAACTGCAGGCTGTGGAAGGCCAGTAGTTCAGCAGTTCGAGACCTGAGTTGCCACATGATGGAGTGAGCTCCCGTCTCTAGTTCCAGCTCCTGCCAACCTAGCAGTTCGAAAGCAAGAAACTGCAAGTAGATAAATAGGTACCACTTCGGTGGGAAGGTAACAGCGTTCCGTGCGCCTTGGTGTTTAGTCACACCGGCCACATGACCACGGAAACGTCTTCGGACAGCGCTGGCTCTTCAGCTTTGAAACGGAGATGAGCACCGCAACCCTAGAGTCGGATTCGACTGGCTTTCGAGCAAGAGAACCTTTACCTTTACTTTAGTGAACCCACAAACGCCCCAATAAATGTATTTAATGCGATACTAGGGTTTTTTCCAAGGGATACCATAAAAGGGGGAGTGCCTTACATTTCCATACACACCAGTTGCTTGCGGGACGGGTAAGAGTCCTGGGTGGGCCTCTTCCAGCACACGGGCCTTACGTTTGACACCCCTGCACTATGCCATGCTGTCTGTCTGCATGCACTCTTCTGATGACAATGGGCCCAGTGCCATGCTTGAGCTTCACCCTTCCGTCACTCCCCCAGATCTGTATTAAGGGAAAAACAACGGTCCAAGTTTGCCACATCCAGTTGCAAGGCAAAGCTTGGCTCTTGGTCTAAAAAAAACCAACACACCACTGACGCTTCTGCCTTGAATTGTTGGATTAGGACCCTCGGCCCATCCTAAAGTTAATAAGTCTCTTGCTTCCTTTTGTAGGTTTGATCTTTGTGGTTGACAGCAACGACAGAGAACGAGTCAACGAGGCTCGAGAAGAACTCATGAGAATGTTGGCGGAAGACGAGCTCAGAGATGCTGTCCTTTTAGTGTTTGCTAACAAACAGGTGAGTGTTACAAAGGGACTGTGCCCAGCCCAGCCCAGCCCAGCCAGAAGGTGTCCCTTAGGGAATCCATGGCTGGCCACAAATGTGGCCTTGGAGCATCCTAAGCCTTTCCAGGGGGAAATGCATGATCTGCCGAGTGGCATAGCTGTCGAGTGGGCTATTCCCTGAGTACTTATGGCTATCACTAGTGAGCTCCTAAGGACCCCCCCCCCGCACTGCAATGCCCGCAAGAGCGTTATTGAGCTAAACAGCCCTTTAAACACAGAGACAGGCTTGTGTACACACAGCAGTGTAGTGGTTAAGTGTGCAGACTCTAATCTGGGAGAACCGGGTTTGATTCCCCACTCCTCCACTTGCAGCTCCTGGATGACCTTGGGCAAAGCCATAGTTCTGATAAGAGCTGTTCTTGAAAAAGAGCAGTTTCTGTCAGAGCTCTCTCAGCCCCACCTACCTCACTGGGTGTCTGTTGTGAGGAGGGGAAGGGAAAGGAGTTCCTAAGCCGCTCTGAGACTCCGAGTGAAGGGCGGGGTATAAATCCAGTCTCTTCTCCTCCTCCTCTTCTTATTGGGTATCCTAAACGGAAAAATTTACGGAATTTTAAAATCAGGTACTCATCAGCTCTAATTTCTTTAACCCCCGCGTCCCCATATTTTAAGTTGCATTCACACCCAGGCTTGTTTTTGGAGCGTGAAATAGTGACTTCTTTAATATAGATGAGCTTTCTCGTGCCCAGCTGTTGCTTTACCGTGGGACTCGGCAGGTATCCTAAAAATGTAACGCCTCTAAAACGTGTTCCTAGACCTCATGGCGACAAAAAACAGGGTTTATTCCAGCATTCTAGTGGTTCGCCTTGCTCATTTCTCATGATTACTGTCACCAGACTTGCTGCTTCCTTTTCTCTTGGTTGACCAAGTCCCGTGAACAAGGCAGAGACCGTTTATGCCTAATTCTGCATGCGAGACTTGAGCTTCTCTCTGTGTCTTCCTGCACGTGGCTCTCTTTCCAGAATACGGCCAGCACTGAGTAGTGTGTCGTTCCACTCACCTTGCCCGTGCTCACCCTGAAAACTTGCTGTTCTGTGCCCCACAACATCTACGCTGATTTTAATGGCTTAAATTGCGTGCTGTGCAGATCATGTATCTGCTGGATCAGAGCCGGGGATCCTGTCATGAGGTAGCCCGTGTGTGCTTGTGTGCCTGGAAGTCATGGTGACTTCTGGCGACCCCTAGTGGGGTTAGGACATTTCAGAGAGGTGGCTTGATGTCTGCCTGCCTCTGCGTCCCGGCCCTGGTATTCCTTGAATGCCGCCCTTCCAAGTACTTGCCAGAGTCGGCCAGAGATGTAAAATTTCCAAGGGGGGGCGGAACGGACATTTTTGGGAAAATTGGGGGGGAAAAACGCTACATTAGCACTTCTTTTTTCTTTTCCAGATTGAAAGTCATTCTGTCACTTTAGGAACATAAAATATGACTATGGACATTTTTACATGGCATGAAATTATCACAACTAGCGTAATTAAAAAATAGAGTGTATCCAAACAATTATTTCAAACAGAATACCCACCCACATGAAAAAACAAAACTGAAACCTTTGTCTTTTCTTGTGACAATCGCACCTCCTCAAGGAAGAAATGCATCTTGTTCTTGCATTGGAGAGTTCAGTTTGTAACCTAGGACTTGCTTGTCCTCAGTGCACAGAAATTAGATCAATCTGATACCATACATATTTTTTAGAAATGATTTGGAAAATGTTTAAACACCTTGTCTTAAAATATTTTATTCATCGTGTTAAAATAAAATGTTCCATAATCAATTTTCTTTTTTCAATTTTTCCAATTTTTCGGGGGAAAACAAAAAAGGCTTCAGGGAAAAAACGGAAAAAACCTTTTTTCCCCAAAGTTTTCCGGGGTTTTTCCGGGCCTTCACATCTCTAGAGTCAACCTTGAAGGCCACCCTTCCACGTACTTGCCAGAGTCGACCTTGCTTAGCTCCCAAGGTCTGGTGAGACCGGGCTTGCCTGGGCTATCCAAGTCAGTCGTGGTGCTTCACTTGGGCCCTCCTGAAGCTAGAAAGAGCTTGACAGGGAGCAGCGGGGCCCTGCTACGTTTAGACAGGATCTGGGTTGGGTGAAGTTCAGATTTGCACTGTTCTTTTGAAGACTCCAGATAGAATTCGCCTGGGTCTCCTTGGGGGCCAGGAAGGAATTTTGGGGGGGTTTTGCCCACGCTGAAAGTGGAGGTAATTCTGACTTGGCTGGTTCGTTGGCGCTTCTTGTGACGCACAGGTGCCGTCGCTCAAGCCCACGACGCGTCCTGTGATCCTCAAGGGGGGGGAAAGGCGTTTCTCTAAAGCGTTGCTTCTGTTTCAGGATCTGCCGAATGCGATGAATGCAGCAGAGATCACAGACAAACTAGGACTGCATTCTCTCCGCCACAGGAACTGGTACATCCAAGCCACCTGCGCCACTAGCGGGGACGGTCTCTATGAAGGACTGGACTGGTTGTCCAATCAGCTCCGAAATCAGAAATGAAGCCCTAAGAATTCTTCCTCTCTCTCTCCCCCCCCTCTCTCCCCCTCCCCTCCGTATCTCCTCTTCCTCCACCCCTTCGCTTTACTCTAACGTGGCAAACCATGCTACTTTGTGGGATTGAGTGCCGGAAGCTGTTTTCCTCTCTCTTTGTCACCGGACGTCCTTCACCACGCTGTCCGTGTGGCAAATCCAAGCCTGAAAACAGTTAGGGTTCTTATTTAATGTAAATAGTTCTCATTTCCAGTGAGACAATTTCTGGTACTCCTATGCAATATTACTCAGCTTTTTTTTTATTGTAAAGAAAATCGACTCGCTGTTTAGTACTGGGAAAGGGGGACTGAGAGCGGGTTTGAGAGGAAGGGTTTCCAGTGGAACCGCTAGAGCCGAGTTACGACCCCTCGCGGCTGGTGAGGTCTGTGCAGAGGCCTGGTTTGGCGGCGGCTTCTGTGGTTCTTTTTCTTTAGCCTCGAGGTGTCAGATCATTTAATAAAGTGAAGACATTTGAACGAAATCTGTCCGTCGTTCTGCCACAACTCGAATACCAGCAACTTAATATCTTTCAAAAGAGTCACAGAACGAGGGGACGTTCTGGATCTTTTCTGTGCTTGACAACTTTTTGTGTGCGTATTAACATGAGCATGAGGCCCTCTTCCGTTAGAGCTAGAGTAAGGAATCGGCTCGCAGACAGACACCGCAGTCCCGTGGCTCTCTTGGAGTCGGGCAGGAATGGCCCTGTCGCATCCTGTTGGGGTGTCACCTCCATCTGTTCGGTTTTGGGTTCTCTCCCCCCCCCCCCGATGTTTTGGGCTTTTCTTGCGCAAAACTCCTCCACAAAAGGCAGAATTCTTTCCACAGAGCACAGCAGTCCGTTAAGCAGTTCTAAGCCCTGCCGTCAGCAAGTACTGTACTTGAGTGAGTAACGCCATCCCGATCATCTAATGTAGCGTCTAGGGGGGGGAAGTAAAGTAAAAAGCATGAGAGCGTGGAGTTTCATTCCATAATAGAAGTATTCGATGCCGTTTTTGGAACCATCTCCCATCTGTATATGTGTGAAAACCCCTTCGCCATCCCTCATACTGCAAGGTTCAGATTTGCCATCAAGAAAGACCTCTTTAACTTTTTTTTTTCTTTTGTATTTTGATAAAAACACTGAAGAAGCTGGAGCTGTTTAAACTTTAAACTTGAGGAACTATCAGAACTGGTTTGTTTAGTGTCGTGGGGGGGGGAATCTTATTTGCTTTCAAAACACAGTTCGTAATCGACTGTTTTGTATACTTGTTTTCAGTTTTCATTTCGACAAGACGAGCACTGTAATTAAAAAGCTATTAGAATAAAAATCTCTTAACTATTTCATGACGTTTTCACGCTTTGCCTGTCCATCTTGCCAGGATCGGAACCAAATACAGATTGAATAAAACTGTTCCATGGTGTTTCTGCGCGTGTCACTTTCTGCTTTGGGGGTCCTCGCCCGGACTGCGTGAGTGATCTTTGCGGGGCTCTGAAGGACGCTCCTCTGTGTGTTGTCGCAGGTTGGATTGACCGAGAAACGACGGCTGAGGGGGGACATGATCGAGGTTCAGGGCTATTTTTGGGCAGGAACAGAGTTCCCACTAGCTCCTGAGTTGGCCACGCCCAGCAGGAACTCATTAGCATAATAGGCCACACCCAACAGCAGAAACTCATTAGGATTGGCTACATTAGGAGTGTGTGGCCTAACATGCAAAGGAGTTCCTGCTACAAAAAAAGGCCCTGGGTTTTGGCAACAAACAAGGTAAACAATAAGAAGGGAAAGGTGGGTGTGGCTGGATGACCACACTTCTGGTAATATGGGGGTGTAGCCTAATAGGCTAATGTGCTGTGCTGTTAGGGGTGTGGCCCAATATTCTAATGAGTTCCTGCAGTTGGGTGTGGCCTATTATGCTAATGAGTTCCTGCTGGGCTTCTACAAAAAGAGCCCTGTAATGAGGTTTATAAGACTATGCATGGGATAGAGCAGATCGAGAAAGAGGTACTTTTCTCCCTTTCTCACAAGACAAGAACTCGCAGGCACGCCATGAAATCGCTAAGCGGCCGGGTTAGAACAGACAAAAGGAAGTGCTGCTTCACCCAAAGAGTGACGAACACTTGGAATTCACGGCCACAGGAGGTGGTGGCGGCTACAAGCATGGACGGCTTCAAGAGGGAATTAGATGAGCATACGGAGCTGAGGTCCATCCGTGGCTATTAGCCACAAGGTATAGATAGGAACTCTGGGTCTGGGGCAAGGGATGCTCTTTATTCTTTGGGGGGGGGGGGCAACAGTGGGAGGGCTTCTAGTGTCCTCCTGGCTGGACCTCCTGATGGCACCTGGTATTTTTGGCCACTGTGTGACACAGAGTGTTGGACTGGATGGGTCACTGGCCTGATCAAACATTGGCTTCCCTTATGTTCTTATGACCGGGATCAGATTTTTCCTGTTAGGTGGAGGTTTCAGGTGGGGAAAAGCTGTCTTGGTCTGCAGTTAGAAGAGCGAGATTAGATTCCAATAGCACCTCAGAGAACAAACAGGTTTCCAGGGTAGAAACTTTTCAAGAAAGCGTAGAATCTAAGGCGTGCACCTTGGGAAATCTTGTCAACCGCGCCAGCTCGCTCTCTGTAACCCGCCTTAAGTCCCAATGGGAAAGGTGGGCTATAAATAGCAAAAAAAAGTATTGCTGGATTCGAACCTTGCTCTTCATTTAGAGGACCTGTCTCACAATTGTGGTGTCGCATTGCAAATTTGGGCTTGATACAGGCCCGGTTCGATTTCTTTTGGGTTCCAGGGACGGGATGGGCGCAGGCCATTTGCCAGGAAGGTGTGCCGAAATGGCTGAAGGGATCACCTGACCAGTGTTCCCTCTAAGCTGAGTTAGTGTGAGCTAGCGCACAGTTTTTTAGCCTCCAGCTCACAGATTTTTGTCTTAGCTCGGGAAGGAGGGCTCCAGAGCCAACTAATTGATGCAGCAGCCAAGTCGCTGGCTCACCACTTTAATGCCAGTAGCTCACAGAGTAGAATTTTTTGCTCACAAGACTCCAGAGCTTAGAGGAAGCATTGCACCTGATATGTGCTTGGTCTGGACTTGAAAACCGACCTACAGCTTCTGTCTCCTGTCCAATGGCTGCTTTGAAGGGTGGACTCTGTGGCATTGTACCATGCTGAAGCCCCTCCCCTCCCTAAACCCCACCCTCTCCTGGATCCACCCCCAAAGTCTCCAGGTCTTTGGCAACCCTATACTGAAGGGCCCGGTCTCGAGAGAGAGAGAGAGGCAGAAACGCATTCAGCGGGTGTGTTCCTCCGTGGATCCTCCCTGCCGTTGAGGTGCCTCCTTTGAGGGGACCCGTCAACCAGGGCAAAGGTGAACTCTGCTTCGAAGTGGGTGAGGGAGGCCGGACTAGAAAGAGGCGAATTCGTGCCAGGTGCGCGTTGCCGGGCCGGGCCCTGCCCTGGGGGAGCCGCTGGAAGCTCCTGCACCAAACGCAGAACAAATCATCCGACGTGAAGCGACAGGCCGATGTCAGAAGAAGTTACCTGGAAGATGCTGCCGCTTGGAAAATCATCAGGCCGGTAGCCAAAAATAACCCGGGGGGGGGGGAACGACCTGTTAAAGGAGCATGGGGTGGGGGGGTCGTGTCACGAAACCACAGCAAAAACCAATGCCGAGAGATCTACGTTACGAAACAGTGCAAACTGGATGTGGCTAAAAGTTGCGTCCCTGATAACAGCTGGCTAAGTTTGCACTAGCCAGAAGCTGGTTTGTACGACCAGCTGCCCTCAGAAGTGAAAGGGGCATCCATTTATCCTTTTGCTACGAATTGCAAGCACTCCAACACGTGCGCATGAGACTGCCTCATATTGAATCTGACCGTCGGTCCATCAAGGTCAGTCTTGTCTACTCAGACTGACAGCAGCTCTCCAGGGTCTCAGGCGGAGGTCTTTCCCATCACCTCCTGCCTGGTCCTGAGAGCCAGTTTGGTGTAGTGGTTAAGTGCGTGGACTCTGATCTGGGAGAACCGGGTTTGATTCCCCACTCCTCCACTTGCAGCTGGCTGGATGACCTTGGGCAAGCCATAATTCTGATAAGAGCTGTTCTCTCAAGGACAGTTCTGGAAAGAGCTCTCTCAGCCCCGCCTACCTCACAGGGTGTCTGTTGTGGGGAGGGGAAGGGAAAGGAGTCTGTAAGCCGCTCTGAGACTCCTTTGGGTAGTGAAGGGCGGGGTATAAATCCAATCTCCTCTTCTTTTAACTGGCGTTGCTGGAGATTGAATCTGGGACCTTCTGCATGCCAGGCAGAGGCTCTATCGCTGAGTCACGGCCCCTCCCAGACAGCCTTCGATATGTACACATGAAGCTGCCTTCTACTGAATCAGACCACTGGTCCGTCAAGGTCAGTCTTGTCTACTCAGACTGGCAGCAGCTCTCCGGGGTCTCAGGGTGAGAGGTCTTTCACATCACCTATTATATGTAGAACAAAGTTTGAAGTCCGGTGGCACCTTTAAGACCAACAAAGTTTAATTCAAGGCAGGGGTCATTTCGTAGAAAAAGAGGGGCAGGAGCTCATTAGCATAACGTATTTGCATATGCCACACCCCCTGACATCGCCGGAAGTGTGTCAGAAGGCAACACCCACCATCCACGGGACTGTTTTGGAAGGCTAGCTATTGGGATATGTGCAGATCTGTCCTCACAGAGGAGGGAGAGCTTGTACCTGAATAAAACTTGGTCTTAAAGGTGCCAACTGTTTTG